TTTTTATTATTTTTCTAATATTCTATTTAAAATTGAAGTATTGTAATATGTACAAGTAATTATTTATATTTTTGTTACGAATTTATGATTGAAAATACTTTTTATATAAATATAACTGCTAATTTATAGTATAACAAATATGATTATAAATTTATAATAAAAATTATAATAGAGTTTGTATGTATATAAAAAATGGTTTCAGTGGATATTATAATTTTGGTAATACATACAAGTATTACAGATTTTTTATTTATAGAAATAATCTTTCTATTTTGGGAATAGAAAGTTGCATACATACATATCATATATCTGATTAGGATGTACCGAGTAAATTGACGTTATTCATAAAAACAATATTAAAGATTTGCACTGTGTAAAATGATTTTATTATAAAAATATATATATAATATATGATATAACTTGAAATAAAAGAACATATATGCCAAAACATTGAATGGATGTAACTAGAAAGATACATAGTATGTTGATATCAAGAATGCGACAGTGACAACTCTGTTGTTTTCGTTTTGTTTAATTAATTTTGATGAAAAAATAAGGTTGTGACTCATGTCTATTTAAGATTCAAAATCTTTCATTGCACTTCATCTAATATGCTAAAATATTTGAATCTTGAATCTTTATCAATCGTACGCGTGTTTATAATACCAACAACGTATTTCACGTTAAAAATTCCAAAAACATGGGGAAATTTGGACCAATCTCCCTTTTTTTTTCTTTCCTTGTCATACCAAGTGGTACCACAACATGGTACAAGGAACTAGACACATGTTATTTAAATTTCAAACAAATACACTGTTTGATTGAAATACGTATAACACATTACATTTCATAAAAATAAATGTTTAACACATTTGTATTTTTAAACACTTCAAAAACTAGGGACAAACGTATTAAGTCCCGAGCGGGATCTCCATCTCATGCATCTGCTCAACTTATTCTTATAAGTACATTGTTTTGATAACATGAAAGATGCATTCATTAAACTTTGAAAATACAAAAAATATAAACCAATAATCAACGTATTAAAAAATAAAATATAATTATTTAATAAAAATAAAAAATAAAAAAATAATAGTGACATGGTACACCTTCCTTCCACAAAATCCACCTAAAAGAGTTTGACAAAATGGTCCCCGTAGTTATGGATGAGGGGCATGTTGCCTAAATAGCATGGACCACACGACCCAAACGATTAGTTTATGTTACCATTATTCACAATTTTTATTTTTTATATTTCAATAGATCTCTTACTATTATAAGTTATAAAACATGTTGTATTATTAAAATCATATGCTATAATTAGTTTTTTCGGTGTATTTTTCATCTAGATTTTTAATCATCGGTTGTGGTACTAACACAAATATGTATTTTTAAATGAATTTCATAACTTGTGAAACATAATGTCTTTTTTGCATATTTCTCGTGCACACATGCGATAAATGTTACAAGAACAACAAGTATCATATTCGTACATGGTTTTTGCAAAAAAAAAATGCAGATGGGCATAAGGGCTATGTTCGTTTTTGTCGTAATCTTATGTCAGTGATTTATCCATAAATAAAACTGTCATTTTCGTAATTTATATATTCTGCAAAACTGTACTGCATGCAAATTACCAGAACAGTTGAATATTAGTTTGATTATCAAATTACATAGACAATGTTAGGTACGATGGAGATGTGGATCAATATTAGTTTACATTTATTAGGTACAATTAGGATGTACCGGATATTACTTACGCTTTAAGGAATATTTGCAAACAAACTCATTATATATGATTACGAAGTATGGATTGTACTTAATATCTAAGACAATAACAATTTCCTTGTTTCTTTATTAATTACAATAATATAAACTTTTATTTGCAAAATTATTTGAGCTCGAAGATCGTGTGGATATATTCGATTCGTTTGGTTTGGTTAGTTAAACTCTAAGAACTGTAATAAATTTGTAACTGTTAAGTTTTGCTCGTACATGGTTTTAGTTATTTGTGGATGTCTCACTCGCAACAACCATCACCGTTAAAACCACCCTAGTACCACCGACATCACTTGAATACTTCTATCGTACCATCCTTTCCACTTAACAATTACAAGTATCACTAATGCCACCATTAATATTGTCACATATACTTGACTTTTTCTACAACTACCACCCTCTCCACTTAAACCGCTGCCAGTATCGCTATTGTCATCACCAGGGACGGATCCAGCTTTTAAGCACCGGGGGGAAAGGTCCTTAGTAATTAAAAAACAAAAAACTTTTGTTGACTAACTTAAATTTTCTATTTTCATCATCGTCTTACATGGTTTTCCTCCAGTCTCATATGACCATATACCTCCCTCTCCCAAGTCCCATCCAATGTGTCCCAACTCCATTAATTTTCTGGATCCGCCACTACTATGACCATCGTCATCACCACACCATCGCTACTTGACATAAATGCTACTACCGTTACCACCACTACAACACTAGGTAACAAATTGATAAATTTATTAATCTTGTAGCAATCCAGTTATAAGTATAATTAAATCTCTCGCAAGTAACCGAAGATGATTACAATATAAAATGAACCTAGAGCCCTTGATGACTTATTGTATAGACTATACGAGTGTTGTTTTATGAAGTAACAAAAAATGTGTCGTCTAAGCAGGATGTATATATACACATATCTGTATGTATATATATATATATATATATAATTTGAAATAAAGATGAACAGAAGTTCCATATATATAAAGGTAGAAATAAAAGAAAAGTAGTAATACATGTGTGGTAGGAACATGACAAATGAGTTGTCATCAATCTGGATAACGCCATAGCTTCGTCTGAGCATCTATCCATGGAGAAAGATGTAATCCCAGCTTCACCAATAATGCAAAAGTTCCAGTCAAATCATGACCAATACCTCACTTCCATTGCCACTTAACTTTTTTAAGGATGTTCATAATTTTACATCTTTTTGCTTCTATCAATATCACTTCATTTCTTTGTTGAAACTAATCCATACATACATATATATATATATATATATATATATATGTTATTATACAACCTTTTACATTTGTACAACCAATGCAACCCAATAAATTGAGATATTTATGAAATGATGAGAGTTCATTTATTATGATTTAAAAATTTATGGAAGATGAATATAGTTCATTAATTATGATCAATACTTTATATTACAAAACAATCAAAATTTCTATGAAATCATATATTAATCAAATGAAATGGACGGTTGAGATTGAGTTGTATTGGTTACACAAATGTCAAAGGTTGTATAATAACCAACCCCTCTCATTTTTTTTTCTCTCTCTCTATATATATATATGTAGTTTTATCAATTAATATAAACAATCCCAATATTATGTTATTTTACACATTTCTTCTTATTAAACATATAATCAAAATGATTATCTAAAATTTAAATTGCCAATTTTTGTAAGAACAAGAGTATGTACAAACTCCAAAAGATGCTTAAATAAATTTATATAAATTGTACCAAAACAAAACAACTTTTATTTAAAATTCCAATATAAATTTACCTTTTGTTATCATTTGCAATTATTATAAAACAATGATCAATATTTGTCAATATATAGAGAGAGAGAGATAAGGGTTAGTTATTATACAACCCTTAACATTTGTATAACCAATACAATACAATCTCAACCGTCCATTTCATTTGATTAATATGTGATTTCATAGAAGTTTTTATTGTTTCCTAATATAAAGTATCGATCATAATTAATGAACCATATTCATCTTCCATAAATATTCAAATCATAATAAATGAACTCTCATCATCATTTCCATAAACATCTCAATATATTGGGTTGCATTGGTTGTACAAATGCGATAGGTTGTATTTGAAACAAACTCTCCCTCTCCCTCTCCCTCTCTCTCTCTCTCTCTATATATATATATACACACACACATCCCAAGTTGAGTGCTATGTTGTTCCGACTTCCTCGGAGTTTCCGGTAGCACAACTCAGACAACGACTGGTTCTCTGCCACTGCAGGAATGGAGCGACAAAAGTTTTGAGAATTCAAGAGAAGGTCACGACGAAACAAACCGTTTATCATTATATGTATAGGTGAATGTTTAAACAAGAACACCTATATTTTACAAGAAGTCAAGAACACCCTCTCACATGTGATAATACACGTGAGGGGACCTGGTGGTATGCAGACGTCGTGTCCTGCGACTTAGGCCGAGCGAAAGATCGTCTACGTCTATGATTTAGTATCACATGTGATGGTCTTGATGAATTATGGTATCACATTAATAACACCTTTATCAGATGTGAAAAAATAATATGTGATTGTATATATTAAAAGAGTGTTATTGCGTTAGCGTTCTTATAAAATTAAGGATTATATGAGAAAAAGAGTTAAAATGAGAAGCGTAACAAGAGATCTACGCCCTTGATCTCAAACTCATCTATGAATCGTGTTTGACATAAAAATTGATTAAGAATTAAACTCATTTATTACGTTTTTTTATCTTAATTATTCTTATCTTAATTATTCTTTTCACTGAAATTTAACCTCTTTGAAAAAAAAGTGCATTAGTTGAGTTTTAAATCCATAAATAGATATTGAAGAAAAGAATTGGATGTTATTCAATCGCATTAATTATCTGTAAATATAATAAAAATATATATAAGATGAAGATGGATTGGAGGGAGGAGGGTGGCGATGGCGGTGGCGGTGGCGTTGGCGGTGGTGGAGGACGCTTCAAAACGTTTGGAAGAAATCAATAATTTCCGATAAAAGTTACGGTTTGCGGTATGGCCCTAAAAGCAAAAATTCAAATCCAATTATTAAACAAAAATATCTCTCTCTCTCTTCGATCCTCACGCCCCCCCTCTCTCTCTCTCTCCATTCATTACACGCTTTCTCTTTCTTTCTCTCTCTGCAAAATTTTGCATTTTATTTTATAAAATTCAAAGGTTCGTACTCTGACAACGACCACTGAAGGATGGTCGCACATGCCTACTGTCATGTCACTCCAAAATCAACGGTTACGATCTCCAGGTACGGTTTTCCCGACGGCCGTGATCATCCTTCTCTTTCCTCTCTCTCGTTTGCTTCTGATTGCTATAGATACACTCATATATATCCCTCCAACCCATTTCTCTCTCATCGTTTTTATTTTTCTCTCTCTCTCTACTGCTCTTCAGGTCGACTACGGTCGGGTCGGGTGCCTTGTATAAAATCTCTCTGCGTCACCTTCCATCTTTCTTTCTTTTTTCTATTTTTTATTACCTCGATAGCGATTGGGGAAAAAAGTTTGACACAGAGAGAGGAAGGGGTTTTTCATGGCGGTTTTGGGAAGAACCAGTGGTTTGCTGAGCTGGGTTAGGGTTTTGTATTCCTGTGGTTTTAGTTATGCGGGGAAGGTTTAATTGTGGAATAATGCATGTGAAAATTACGTGTTTTAGAGTCAGGAAGAAGAGGTTAAGTTGAAAAAGGGGGAAATTGGGGGGAGGGGTTTTGCTTGATCACTTGAGAGATTTGTTGAGTGATGGTTTAGAATTTGAAGATTATAAACAAGGCTTTATAGTTGCTCGTGAGGGTTGGTTTAGCTGATGCTTATAAAATTATTAAATATACATATATAAAATAAGCCAAGGGTTTAGATAAAATATGAAGCTTTCAACATCAGGGTTGGGTCAGCAGCCTCATGAAGGTATCTCCTTCAAATCTTTCTTCTTGATTTTTGTTTTTTCTTTAATCCGACTTTACATGCGTGTCTCCTTTTCATTTATTCTTCTTAGTTGTATCCTAAACATTTTTCTATCTTTCTAGACATTCTTTATGTCGATGCTTGTGTGTTATATATTCTTGATTAATTAGTATTTAAGTCTTTGATGGTTTTGTGGGTTAATTTATTGCTTCTTGTCATCACCCATGAAAGGAGAAAAGAAATGCTTGAATTCGGAGCTGTGGCATGCCTGTGCTGGTCCTCTTGTGTCCCTACCGATTGTGGGCAGTCGAGTGGTTTACTTCCCTCAGGGCCATAGTGAGCAGGTTTTTAACAATTCGTCTCTGATTTATAATTATTGATTTAATAGTTGTTTCAATTTTGTATTGCAAATGTTGTATTTATAGTATGTAATTGCCTATTTTGGTGAGTAACTATTAAGTGATCTGAATTGAAACTGGAAGCCAGGTTGCTGCCACCACTAATAAAGAAGTGGATGCTCACATACCCAATTATCCAAGCCTACCTCCCCAGTTGATCTGCCAACTTCACAATGTCACTATGCATGTGGGTTCTACTCTCTTTTAAGTGTTATCGTTTTATTTGTGTTGCTTTAGTTTCCGCTTATGTTATAATACAACTAAAAACTCATAATTCTGCAATTTCAGGCAGATGTTGAAACGGATGAGGTGTATGCCCAAATGACATTGCAGCCCTTGACTGCGGTAATCTCATGTCAAAGTTCCAACATGGTTTTTTAGACTGTTTAGTGGTGCTAAAAGGTTCTCTTTAATTGAATTTTCTATCATTTTCGTGTAATACATTCTCAGCAAGAACAAAAGGACACGTTTCTCCCGGTCGAGCTAGGTACTCCGAGCAGGCAGCCAACTAATTACTTTTGCAAGACATTAACAGCCAGCGATACTAGTACCCATGGGGGATTCTCTGTTCCTCGCCGCGCAGCAGAAAAAGTGTTCCCTCCACTGGTAATTGTTCATTCCATCCTTATGCTTTTACCAACAAAAATGGAAGATCACACTCTGTTTTTTGGTTCTTCAGGATTTCTCTCAGCAGCCACCTGCCCAGGAACTTATTGCGAGGGATCTCCATGACGTTGAATGGAAGTTCAGGCATATCTTTAGGGGTAGGTATTAAAGTCATCTTTATCAATTTTGCCTCATGCAAATCTGCTATTCGTTATGTGAATTGTGGATCATATGGGATATGTATACTCAAGAGAAGGAATCATTTGTGTGCAAATATATAATCCATTATAGGATGGATTTCACTATGGATTATTGCCCTTTATGCCATGTAAGAATCATCTTGTTCCATTTAGGTGATGTGATTGAAAAAATTCCACTCAGGCCATGCATCTTCAATTTCTCTGCCGATGAATATTCTCTGTCCAAACCTCTTGCTGGTGGAGGCGCAAAAGCTAAATGGTTAATTTGCCACTTGAATTATTATATTGGTCCAGATACATGTACAAATGCAAATTATACAATTTACTTCATATTTCACTTTTCTCATTGATATATTCAATATTCATGGATACAAGCAGAAATAAGTTAATGAGTGATATTTAGCATAACTAAACTGAGATATTATGTAATTCCCCACTCCATTGAATTCTAAGTTCTTTTTTCTATCTTTAGATTCTCTCCTTTTATCTTTTCCCCCATTGTGAACCTGCTGTGGTTGTTTCATCACCATGACCATATCACTGCCAACCAAATCAAACATTTTCCTCCCAAACACACACAGAATCACACATAACAAGTCAAATTTGGTGTCGATGATGACAACCTGCAAGGATGGTAATATAGTTACAATGTCACCACTATCAATCACAAAATATCAAGGGAATTTCACTTCAACATTTGCTTAGTCAAACACATGACAACCCAATTAACATAAATTAGGAATATCAATTCTTCAAATTCTGAAGAGAAGTAAATAAGAAGAGGGAGAGAAACAGTAAGACCTTTCTTGCCTTTCATATTCCTCTGGTCTTTTATATATCCTTGACTCCTTTGTTTATGCTTTCCTAAGTCTTCTCCCTTTCTCCAGCCCAAATTTTTGCTTCAGCTCCCTTGCCTATGGTGGCCACAGAAGTGCCAAGAGTGTGTGAGATTGGTGGTGACGGGTTGGAAAGATAAGTTGAGGAGGGAGAGGTGTTTAGGAGCAGGAGACAACAGAAGTCTATTGGGTGGTTCGAAGATGATGAATCAAGCTAAATAATTCTTGAGGAGGGCTAAGTTAGGAAGATAAGGGAATTTTCAACCTTATTATTTCAACCTTGTTGACTAAAACATTAATTTAATTTTAATCTTATTCTTATGATTTAATTGAAATATGAAGAAGGGGTTTTATTTTACGTGGTTACATGTTGTAGGACTATAATTAAACTGGAGAATAGCAAGTGTATTGTACTTTATGCATTTATGCTTGTTCCCAAATCAAATTAGTATCTTAGTCAATAAGGGAAATTTGACATGGCTAGCAGTAAGATATGATTATCTTGTGTCTACCCTCCATCAACAGGGGTTTTGTTGGGAAATTGGGTGTTTGCTAGAGAATGTATGTTTCCTAGCCTTCATGGGACGTTGTTAAGTCATATGGCCTAGATGAAACCTTTTTTTGTTCTAAAGACAATTATGGTGTTTTGTGGTATCCTATATCTGTAGTTATGCGAACTCTTTACTTATTCTGTAAGCCTTTGTGTAAAGAACTGGAACATTCAGAATGCTCTGGTGACCAGTGTTTTGTCTGTTTATGATCTTGTTCCTCCATGGTTTCTTGTTTGCTTGTAGCCTGTGGCATTCATAAACTTTAGCTTGTGGTGGAACTTGTCTTTTCTCCTTTCGTACTTAAAAGTTAGAGATTTGTTAGGGGAGTTTTCTTTATTTCTTTGGTGGCTTTCTTTAGTCAATTTTGAAATGGTTCAATCATCCTGGATCCAGGCTTTAATGGATCTTACTTTAGCATGTATGCAAGGAAGCTGCACTATGTGGAGATAAATTTTCTTTGGTTGACATGCCAATGCTATAACTATAGAATATTGATATTATATGTTCCAATCTTCACATGCAGGGCAGCCCAAACGTCATCTTCTTACCACAGGGTGGAGTGTTTTTGTGAGCGCGAAGAGACTTGTTGCTGGAGATTCTGTGCTTTTTATCTGGTATTTAGTGGATAATGTCACATATTAGCCTGCATCTAGCTATTTGATTATAAAATCCATGTAGCTATGTTGTTTATTGCCTAATATTTTGATGGGTGTTGAAATGGCGAATCAGGAATGAAAAAAATCAGCTCCTCCTGGGGATCCGTCGTGCTACTCGTCCGCAAACTGTAATGCCATCATCTGTTCTATCAAGTGATAGCATGCACATTGGACTCCTTGCTGCTGCTGCTCATGCAGCTGCTACGAATAGTTGTTTCACGATATTCTATAATCCAAGGTGACAAACAAATATCGAAAGATGTTTATTTTATGATTGGTTATGTTTTCTGTTTCTTCATCCAAACCTAATTGCATCAGAGCGAGTCCATGTGAATTTGTTATACCACTTTCAAAATATGTCAAAGCTGTGTATCATACACGTGTTTCTGTTGGGATGCGATTCCGGATGCTCTTTGAAACTGAAGAGTCAAGTGTTCGGAGGTAAACTAGCTGATCAAGACTCAGTCTTATTCTTTTCTTGTCATTTGATGCAACCAACATCCACAATATATTATGTTTTTGCCCTTCGCGGGATTATTAGAGTGACACTCCAATCAGTGATTTCATTATCATTGGGTAGTGTTACATATGCGTCTTATCTGGTGGATGCTATATCTTACGTGGGGCTCGTTACTTTGACCAGATACATGGGTACTATTACTGGCATTGGTGACTTGGATCCTGTTCGTTGGCCCAACTCTCACTGGCGATCTGTCAAGGTAAGTTAGCAAAGATTTTTTATATTATCAGCTTGATTTGGTGCATCTTATTGTTATTGCCATGGGTATATGATGTTGACCAGTGGGAAATGTTGATTGCCACCTAGTTGTGCTATCGTATAGACATAATATATGCATCCTTGAAGCAAAAGGAAAAAAAACAGAACTCCATCATGTAGGTAGCAACTATCTTTAGTGCCTTGCAAGGCAATTTACATGTTGGTTGGGCAGGAACAACAAATTAGATCAGTTAGTTGTCGATCCATAAAAAATGGGTGCCATTAGTGCCAACGGTGTTCTTTTTCTAGGAAGGAATAAAGCTAAAAATGGGTGGAAAGAAAGGAAATACTAAAACAGGTTTATTGTGGCCAAGAAATCATGATTGGGCTCTTTGAACTTGAAGTTAAGCATTACTGCCCGGTCAAAGTTGGGAGCCACCTTTTGACCTCCAGGATAGATAAATATGGTAATTAGTGCTACTGTTGAGAACTTGAGATGGCTTGCAGTGGTTGTAGTTGTTAGGGGAATATCAATTCTGAGTTTCTGAACGTTATTAGACCAACTTCCAATAATGCTTCTCTAATTTTGAACAAATGTATTACTCCTTTTCTGGAGTTGATCAGGTTCTATTGCATATATGTGATATGTGCATGTTATTTTTGTGGAACGTTTAATTAGTTCGTTGTAGCATGCTCCGTATAGTTTTTTCTTGTTGCCCTCTGTTCAATGCTGTGTTTCTGCAATTTGATTTCTTGCAATGCTAGCATTCTGAGTGGATGACTTGCAAGATTTGCTAAAGGCTGGAGTCTTTGATCTCTACAATCTGTCCTTTGATAAAAATCAGTAAACGTCTGGATTTGTTAGATTAGCTAAAAGCATTGATCTCTACGCTCGCTGTCATATGTAGATAGTTAGCGATATGCGACTGAGGGAAAGAAAGAGAATGGTGGTTTCGAGATATTTTTTTAAATGTCAGCTTTATGAGTTCAGCTTCTGCAATAATGGGGGGCTAGGGAAGGTTCAATATTCACTCCTTCAGTTTTCCCTTGCAATTAGACAGGTGCATGTAGATTTTTGAATGTCTTGCAAAACAAGATAACTATTTTACGGCTTCATCTTCATGGCCACTAAATCAGTTGAAGTACTTTGCTGTTAGATAGTGTTGATTTGATTTGTATTATTCGTTGATTTTGAGTATATTAATTTTCAGTGATGTGACTCCTAAGGTCGTTCATGCATCAACCAATTCAGCTTGATTCTGTTTTTGAGGAGAGAAATTGATTGGTTCCAGGTCACGTTATCTGTATCAGATTTCATGTCTACTAAGTTATTAATTGGCTGACTGCATCAGTCACATCTGCAACTCTTGGGGATTTTTTTAATTGACTAGATATCTTTTCTTTAAAGGTTGATAAAGTTGATTTATACAAGCTATGCTAAATTCACAATGTACGAGGCTCTTATCTTTTTTGCTTTGGGCTCTATTCTTATTTAGCATGGCCTCACTTGGTCACGGTATAAATGCACATTTAATGATCATCAGTTTGGGTGTTTAAGTATTGCTTAAATTTAATTTATTACTATCACTACTACTACTGCTGCTATTATTATTATTGAAGGCATATTCAGAAAAGATTGCAAAGAGCCTGTATAAAGAAAATTTAAGGCCAGGGAAAATAAAAACGATAGTGAAAACTATGAGACATGGAGACCAAGGGCAATAGAGAGATAAGCCATCAATATGTAGTTGCTCATATCTGAGATCAGGTACATACCCCTATCTGAGCTCAGGTACTCGGAAAGTACTAATGCCTTCATATCACAGCCTCAGTTGCTCATATTCCGCGTTGCGGAATGGAGTGGTCAAAACTATGGAACTTAGAGGAAGAGGAGCCAGTGTTGTAAAATCATAGATGGCATAACTTTCTTTTGAATTTTAGAAGATGTTCTCTGAGGTTACGTCTAGATTGGAGGAAGCACAGTAATCAGGATAAAAATCATGATAACCACTGGTCTTGACTTGCCTTCATAGAGAATTCTCATTGTTTTGTGCAGCGATCTTGGTCTTAATCTGCATCCAATTTGTTTTTTTGTTTACATTTTTATCATCTATATTGCCTGTTGCCGGGTGTGTGCACAGATTTCCATGTTGGTGTTCTGGATCCGGTGGAGAACTGTTGCTTTATATGGTAGAAGACGTGGTACCTACTATCTATATTCTAAATTGTATATTTTTAAATGTTGCAAGTTCTACTTAGCTCCTTGATGAAGAATAGTTTGTTTTCTGCAACTATTCAACAACTGAAAAACGCCCTTAAAAGCTTTAGAGACTTTACTTGGTGATTTTTTTTGTTTATTGAAAACGGCCATACTGCAGATCCTTGCCAAATTATTAGATTCGAGTACGCAAAAATTTGTTTGTTGATTATTGTTGCCAAGTGATTGTTATCTGCTTCATGTTTATCAATTATTTTCCATCTTGACACTTGTATATTTTCAAATCTCTTTTTGGTAGGTTGGTTGGGATGAATCAACTGCAGGTGAGAGGCAGCCACGGGTATCATTATGGGAAATTGAACCACTAACAACTTTTCCTATGTATCCATCACTCTTTCCCCTTCGGCTGAAACGGCCTTGGTATCCTGGAGCTTCGTCTTTTCAAGGTATCATTCTTGGATATACTATATCTGGTCCTAAAAATTAGAGCACTTCCTTTTTAGAAGAAATTGTTCTTATATATTGGAAAAGAGCCAATATACCCAAAGATAACTCCATGTTTTTTGTTCTATACAATGTCTCTGGAATTACATTATTACTGCCATGGTTCTCTTGTTTGTATTCTCTTTTTATTTTCCATTTCTGGATGGTAGTGTGTGTTCCTTAAAGCTTCTGGTGTCAACTAGGTATAGTTTGCTATACAGCTCTGTATGCCCTTTCTGTTGCTTAAACTTGTGTTGAAGGGGCCATTTCCATCCATATCATGCCCTTTGCATTAATGAGTTGTGAAAGGCATTATGGGCGTCATTAGTTGTACTCTATTGGTAAAGTTAATCATACTTTAGAAGCTGAAGATGTTTTAAGAATGTTAGGGCATGAAATGGTTTGGTAGGCTCTCTTCATTTATCTGGGAAAAATTGAATTTCAGAAGGATGGAGACTTGATGAAAATGTTAGTTGTAAGATAAGAGTCCAATGGATAAAATACTGATAAATTTTGGGTCTTGACTCTTGTGTGCTCAGGAAATCTGATTGAAGTTAGAGGGTAATTCTATAGGCTGGCGGACCTACATAATGCCTACTATGGTTCATGGGGCAAATAAATGGCAATATGCAAAAAGAAAGTTAACAAAAATGTGAACGATCAGCCAAGCGGGTGCATATAGGGCTACACAATGAGGAATAAGATTAGAAGTTACCATACCCCAGAGATGGTTGAGACAACCAGTTGAGGAGAAACCATATCAGCATTGTTTGAGATAGATTCCAATTACCATAAAGCAAAGATGGATGACACTAGCAGTTGAGGAGAAAGTATGGCACAAGTTTGGATGGGTTGGTCATTGCCATAATAGACCTTTGTGCACCAGTTAGGAGACGATATTTCATGTTTGTACCAAGAAAAGATTGTTGGAAGAGGTAGATATCGGCCAAGATTGATATGAGAAAGTAGCAAAGAGCAATTTGAGTGCGTGGAATACACCATGGAATTGACCTTAGACATTAGTGCATGGAAGGATGTTCTTCATGTCCTGTCACCTGAGGGTGTTCACCTCTTTGTAATTCTCTATTGGGTTCCTTTAGCCTAATGCTACTAGTTTGAAATAAAAGGCTTTTTGCCATATGCTGTTATCCCACCAATGTAACTGCGGTTTGCTACTCATTTTCAAGCTTTTTCCAATCATATGGAATTCTGATATACCTGAAGTTGGTGGTTATGTCCTTGTTCATGTAAAACAGAGCTGGTACAGCATCCTTGACTGTAATTGTCATGAGAAACTATGTAATTCTGTTCATCAAGCTTTTGGATCTTGTGAGAATCGGCAAGTCATTTTAGTGAATGCCTAGTTTGTATCATCTCGGTTACTGGTTATAGTGTAACTGTGGTAATTAGTTGTCGTGACAGTGTAAAGGTTGAGTAGATAATTTGGTCTCATTGTAACTAGTGACATGTTTTAATCACTTTAATTAGCTGGTATTGATCACTGACTTTTACATGTGGTGACCATTGAACAAGTTATCTAGAATCTGGTTGCATTTTTAACTATGTAACTTCTTGTAGTCCTCTAAATTAGCTGGTGATCATCACTGAGTTTTAAAAAATAAGCTTGTGACCCCCTTGATACGTTTTCTGCCTATTATCCTTGCATCCTTCCTTTCTTTCTTGGTTGTACTCTTGCATCTATAATTTAAACTTTCTAAAACACTAGCTAATATTCCTTTATTTGTCACTTTAGATGACTTGTTTTTCAATTGTATGAGTTAGTTCGCTATATCAGAATCAGGTGGCTTTGATATGGTTTTAATAGGCACCATCTTGGTGAAAGTACAATTTAATTTGGGTGTGGTTTTGGGTGTGAGAGAAGTCGTTGTAATTTTTGTACGGATTGAGTTAATCTTCAGTAACTTCAAGTGCTCGGTCTAAATGCAAAAAGGAAAATAGAAGAAGTCAACTATTAGGTCTTACATGTTTTTGTAACAAATTAATGTATTTACCAACTCGGGTCTGAACTTCTATGTTCTGTTTATTTTTTAGTAATAGCTGGATCTTTTTATCTATGGAATCTTCAAGCACTTTGATATATTGTGTTGAAGTGGGTTTAAATCCTTGGATGGTGCCTTTTTAGCAACTGTTTTCTTCAGTTCTATCCGATACACACAAATATATATATGTGTGTGTGTGAATGGCATATTCACCTGACACACTCACTTCTTCAAGTCCTGCTAAATCATTTTTGTCCAACTGATGCATGAAATTCGATTATCTCTGGATGCAATAGATGATCAATGAAATCTCGGTCTTCCATATTAAACAATAACCCAATATTTTTCTTACTAGAGAAATTGTAGAATGCATCAGTTCTATCAAACAACTACTTGTGGGATATATGGATGATCTGTTGCTATTCATTTATGGGAATCCAAGAAGTTTGAGTGCCTCATTATAACTATTATGGTAGAAAGTTTAGAGGATTGAAAGCTTACCTGATTATCAGAGGAAAATTTTGGAACCCTAGTTCTGGAGTTCAACTTAATTTTCAGTCGCATATGAGCCAATGGGTATATGATATCCTTCCTCTCTCACTTTATACCCTGAAACAGGCTATCCTTCTCAAGAGAGGCACTTTTACATGGCATGGCATGACATGACATGTATGGCAAGTCGTTATACATATATGGCATATTAGTTGTAGATTAGCTTGTTTGCGGAGTTAAGATTTTTGAATGGAGTAACAACTTTATAGCTATTACACATTGGCGTAATTTTTAATATTAAACGTATTCATTTATTTATGGTGTAAGCATTGAGGCAGCATATCTGGAATGAAGTGGTTAGTAATTATGTATTTCCTTTGCTTGGGAGTAGTTCGAATACAAGGATGGAGAGATTGAAGAGCATGTTAGCCATAGGATAAGAGCGGGGGGTTGACAACATGGTGATATCTGAGAGTCCTGTATGGTTGAGAAGTTCCCTCGAGTTGAAAATTAGTTCCAAGGGACGAATGTAGGACTTGCTATGTGTGTGTGTGTGTGTGTGGGAAGCATGTTGGACCAATAAAAGACAATATGGAGACAAGTTGGGAACAAAAGGCTTGTTTTTATCAAATAAGTTGATAAATATGTGATCTTTCTTTCCCATTTTTAAGTATGGTCGGTACATCCTGATTGGAACTTTTGGTCACATCTAAAATCCGCTTCTTTCATACTTTTTTTTGCACAGACAGCAGAGATGATGCAGTTAATGGAATGGCATGGTTGAGAGGGGATACCGGCGAGCAAGGACTTCATTCTCTGAATTTTCAGTCTGTTGGCATGTTTCCTTGGATGCAACAAAGAGTTGATCCGTCTTTCCTTCAAAGTAATCTTAATCAACAGTACCAAGCTGCATTGGCCGCAGGTTTGCAAAATTTAGGAAGTGGAGATGCTTTGAAACAGCAATTGATGCAGTTTCAGCAACAGCAGCAGCCCATTCAATACCCTCAGCATTCTGGCGCCTCTAATCCACTGTTTCAACAGTCTCACCAACCAATTCAGCAGTTAATTCCTCAGCAGTTTGTGCATGGACAAACCCAAATGTTGGATAACCTACCTCGGTCACAACAGCAGCAAGTCAACAATCAACCAGAGGAACAACAGCAGCAGCAGCTGCCACCAAATTCGTATCCGGAGACATATCTGGTCCAACATGAACAGCTTCAAACAAGGCCGCAATCAACTCACTCTTTTCAGAAAACAGAATTCATGGACCCAAATGTTAAATTTACTTCCAACATTACTACTTCAGCCATGCAGAATATGTTGGGTTCACTAAGCCCTGAAGGAAATAGCAACCTTTTGAGTTTTTCAAGAACAGGGCAGCCCGCACTTGCTGAGCATCAGTCGAACCAGCAATCATGGGTGTCAAGGTTTGCACAATCACAAGCCAATTTGTCTTCTGGTTCACCATCAGTTTTGCCATATCCAGAGAAAAATGGTGGCGCGGAGCAGGAAACTTCAAGCTTAGATGCACAGAATCATTCTTTATTTGGTGGAACCAATATCGACTCATCTGGTCTTCTACTTCCGGCCACTGTGTCAAACATTGGTGCTTCATCAACCGAGACTGATTTAACCACCATGCCTTCAGGAGCTTCTGGGTTACAGAATTCTCCCTACTTTGGCTACATGCAAGACTCTTCCGAGTTGTTGCACACTACAGGACAAATTGACCCGCCAAACCCTAATCGTACATTTGTCAAGGTGCAAGGACCGACAAGATAATCATTAAAGCTTTTCCAATTTCTTTTAGAAAATGTTTCTTGAAATTACATGTGGGTGGGTGGGTGTGTATGTGCAGGTTTACAAATCAGGTTCGGTAGGAAGGTCACTTGACATCACCCGGTTCAACAGCTATCCTGAGCTGCGAGAGGAGCTGGGACAGATGTTCAATATTGAGGGGTTGCTTGAAGACCCTCAAAGATCAGGCTGGCAGCTTGTATTCGTTGACAGGGAGAATGACGTTCTTCTCCTTGGAGACGGCCCCTGGGAGTAAGTACTTCATATACACCATTCATTCGCCCATTATTACTGTTAAAAAAGATTTGATGATATTGTTTGAATGCAAAATTAATCTTATTCTATCATTATATTAAAGGGTGTTATGCTATATGTGGCCAAAATCAAACATTTGTTTAAAATCTTTCAATGGGTATTGAGAATCTTACTAGGTGTTCATGGATATGCAGGGCATTTGTAAATAGTGTGTGGTATATCAAGATACTCTCTCCTGAGGATGTTCAGAAACTGGGTAAGCAAGAGTTGGAATCATTGAGCCAAAACACAGGTGAAAGAATGAGTAGCCTCGCAAATGATGGTAGGGACCTTTCTGGGCTTCCTCCATCGATGGGCTCCCTTGATTTTTGAGATTCACGGAAGAAGAACAAAGACGACGCATTTGATTTTAAACTTGTGTTTTGGTGGTGCTTTTAACGTCGTGATCTACTTTGTATGGTATATGATTATCCGTCGTTTCCGTTTCGTTTCTGTTTCCGTTTCCACTTCCATTTCCACTTCGATTTAGTAGGTGTTAGTTGTATTCTGGTAATTTAGTAAATGTTAGACTTGTTAAATGATTCGAAACTTTAGAACATATATGGAGTCTCAGCCAATTGTTGACCTTTGTGATGATACTTACCAAGTGACAAGTTATGGAAATGTATCTTCTTCTGTCTTTCATCTTAATTATATGCAAGGAAAGGAAGGCTACAATCTTTTATTATTGCAATTTGCAACAATAAGATGTTTACTTGTGACCGATTATTACGTATTTCTTATGACTCCTGCAATATTTCGTTTATCAATGGTTATGAGTAAAACAAGTCGACCGACGGGTGGAATATGAGCAAACATAAAATCATGGGAGGTTCGAGTTTCCACAATTTGCGGAAAATCTGACCATCTCCAACCCAAAGGGATTTGGTCCTTAATCGAGTTGTAAAATCTTTAAACCGTATGTTTTAGGTTGGAATGGAGTTGGGATCATTTAGATCCAACCCAACCTGGTGAACTCGGTGTCTTCTTATTAGTTGGAGTTGTGTGATTTTATGGCTAGAATGCAATGGATTTATTGGCATAGAAGTCAGTTTTAAGGAGTACATAAGGGAAGCGATTCTCAAGTTGTAACTTGGAAATAGGCGGCATGATTATTATGTAATTTCCAAGTGAGCGAATTTAACGTGAGTTTTGTTTTTTTTTTATTGGAAATAATCACTGTGATTATTAGGTAATTTCCAATTCATTTTTTACTGTAGCTCGAAAATAGGCATTGTGATTATTATGCAATGTCCAATTCATCTCTTATTGTAGTTTGGAAATGGGCATTGTGATTATTATGTGATTCCTGGAACGAACGAGCTTTCGATCACTATTGACTAAATGACTGGCTTGGATTAATGTCAATGGTTTTATACCTAAAATGGTGTAACTAGTAACATTAGCTTGTGACTTTTGTGTTCCATCACAACGAATGGTAAATCGGGTCTCCCCCTACATCTTCGGATGTTTTTTTAAGACTTGATTAAAGTTATGTTTCCCGTTTTAATGTTTTATGGTTTTATTTTTGGTCGTGTGAGTATTGAGTTCTGGGTGCGTGTAATTGTGTGTTTTGATTAACGAGACTTCATCAAGAAAATGGTGAGTTTTCGGAAAGATGTTTTTACGATAAATATATTTTAATTGAAAAATTATAAATTTAATCATCAGTCTTTCAGTTTACCATCTTACGATTATAATGAAAACTGGTTGAACTCGCTAGGCGTTAAGTCTAACATTTTTCCTTTGTCGACATGTGCATCAAGTCCGTGGAGAAATGGTACTAGCGATACCATGATGAGATGAGTGCTAGATAATTGCATGAGAAGGTTTTAACTTATCGTTGATGTCTTTCGTCTTTGGAGATAACAACAATTATTGGATTATAGTAACGCTCGACCTTATTTTAGTCTTTGTGTAAGGTTTTGTCTATCTTTTTGTTGATAATGATTTTAGATTCGATATCGAGGTAATTCAAGTATTGATTAATAGAAAAGGGATTTACCCTTTATTTGTTGTATTAATAAAAAAATTTAAATTAGTCGCTCTTTCCAAATTTGAGGTTGTTACATGTTAGTCCCGAAGGGTAAGGCAATAAGCATAAAGTAATTGTAGAAGGGGGGTTGAATACAATTACACAGATTTTTTCAACTTTTTAATTCTTATTGATTTATATCAAGAATTAATACACACAGAAAAACAAAAGATTGTTGCGGAAGATAGGAAAGGAAARCCYAWCYTAAACAATCTTACAAAGAGAAGAACTTTCAAGAACAACACAGAGAGTTCTTGAAA